TTTCCCCTTCCTGTTTCAGATTACCAGTTCCTGGGTGTCATGCGGGGAATGTTTCCCAAGACCCCATTTCTAGGACTGACTGCCACAGGCACAGGAAAGGTCATTGACGATGTCCATCAAGTTTTGAACGTTTCCTCAACCGCAGTCGTGTTCAGAGATTCGTTTAATCGTCCAAATCTGATTTACGAGGTCTTGTGAACATCTTTTCCTGACGACGCTATTTCATCTCTTAAAAATTGCTGTTTATTTTTTTAGGTTGTGAGGAAGCCTTCTGCACAAAAGGACTGTGTAGCCATGATTAAAGATTTATTGCAGAAGGATTTCAAGGATGAATCGGGAATCATATACACTTTTTCCATCAAAGATGCCGAAGAGATAGCAGAAAGCTTGAACCAGTCGAATCTCAAGGTTTGTGTTTTTTCTCTTGCATCCAAAGAAGGAAAGCATTGGATTCATGATCGGTGATGACATTTTATTTGAGCGTTCGTATTTATTTTAGATGTTATCATCGATTCGTCTAAGGAGTTGTTCCAACAAGTTGTTTAAAAAAAAATGCGGACAAGTTTTAAGCCGTGTTATGAAATAGTTTCCCAAGTTTGTCCATCGCGATGTCGCATTGCTTCAGCGTAAGTATAGATGTCGCTCGCAGTCAAAATATAATTTTGACTTTGAATCGAGGCATCAAGCACGAGTTCTATTTGCTCATGGGTTCTTCTTGTTAGCGCATGAATTTTTTCTCAATCAAGAAAAGGGTGGATTGTGTCATGTACAAAATTTTTTTCCAGTAATGAGGAAATTTTGATGTAATTGTACTGCTTTAAGCAATTATTATGAGACTTGATCACTTGACACATGGAGCATCAATTTCGGTGTTTCTCTGGTGCGTTTCAATCAAGATTTGAAACACGCTCGGAAGTACAGTACTGGCATTTCTCAAGGCAGTAACTTTTTTGAAAAGGAATTTTGGGGATGCAGACAATTCGAGGCAGGGACATTCAAAGACAGGGACAATTTTAGACAGATCCAAAGTAGCTATGTGCATACAATTTTTTTACATTGAATTTTCTGGTTTTCCCAAGGTTCTTGGGGAATTTTCATTGCAGTAAATGAAATTAGCATACCTTTAGACCAAAAAGTACGATGTTTGTTCATTTTCACACCTTCAACAAGGGATAAACGCAGGAAAGTAATTTTGGAAATGCTTCTGTCTTAAAATTGTCCTGCCTGTCTCCGAAAGTGTCTGTCTCAAATTGGCCCTGTCTTGACTTGTCCTATATCCGAAATTTTGGAATATCTTGTCCGATTTGTGTGTTGGTATTTCCAAAAACCTTGATATGATATATTCTTTGAATATTTTTGCTTCCAGGTTGGTGTTTATCACGCGAATTTAGACCCGAAAATCCGGAGTTCAGTCCACTCTGCGTGGGTCAACAACAAAATCCGGGTGATCGTCGCCACCATCGCCTTTGGGATGGGCATAGACAAACCGGACGTTCGTTTCGTCATTCATCATTCCTTGTCGAAATCCATCGAGAATTACTATCAGGAAAGCGGTCGAGCCGGAAGAGATGGAAAGCGTGCGAGGTGCATTTTGATGCACCGATTCGGGGATGATTTCCGTGTTGCCTCGATGGTGTGCGGGGAACGAACCGGGATCACGAATCTCAAAAATATCATGGCTTACGCTGTTGAATTGTCCAGGTAAGCTATTTTCATTTTTTTTATTCTTTCAATTTCGTCCTTTCGGAGGAGGACTTGTTCATGGAAAATCCCTGCTTTTTTTGGCGCATTTGTTGAAAAATATTTTCGAGAATACCTGTGACCGCTATGTAGAGGTGACATTTTTATGAGGTGTGTTCGAAAGTTACTGTGCGAAGAGATGATTTGTATATTCGGTGTGTTAACTATATTTCCTGTTATTGAATTGTCCAGGTGATGTGAATTTTGGGTATTCTATTCCTCCGACTTCTTGCTTTTGGTCGATGTATAGTTTGTGGAAAATTCCTGTTTTTCTTGAAAAATATTTCCGAGATTAACCATGAGCTTTGGAAATCGAAATATGTCGTGTATCCGAAATTTACTGTACCAAGAGATGTTTGAATGAAATGAGATCTCACCGACTAAACGATATTCCGATTTTAATCCGAGTTATCTCAAGTTTCATCTGATACTGAGTTTTTTTTCTTTTCTGTTTCGATTTCTGCAGTACTTTCACTGCGCAAAGAAATTTTTGGCACGCGTCGGAAGTGAGTTTTCTTTGCATAATTTAGATATTTTTTCTTGAAAGTGTGTCCGTTGAAGAATCCAAACGTTCTACTAGTGTAATACCTGTAACTGTAGTGGAACAGAATTCACTCGCAGTTTATTTTCCCTGTTCTTACACCAAGTGATGCTTATTTTTTCAGATCAGGAAATCTTTTAATGCATGTGTATGTAATTTTCCAGATGTAGAAGACAGATACTCGCCCAGTACTTCGAAGCTGAATGGAATTCCACTGACTGTGACAAAGCCTGTGATAATTGCTTAGCTCCTACGAAAGCCAAAGAAGTTGACGTCACTGCCTTGCTTTTGAAATTGTACCAAATCTTTGACGAGACTGCGGCCAAGGACCAAAAACTTACGGGTAATTAACTAATAGATGAACGAATCGTCTCAATGCGGTCATGTATAATTTCGGATTCTCACTTTCTTTTGGATGAACATGCAGGTCTGAAACTCGTGGAAGCGTTAGGAAAAGCGAAATCGTTGAGTCCCGAATATTGTGAGCGAGTGATCACGAGTCTGCTTTTGGAAGGCTACCTGAAGATGGACTTTCATTACACCCCGTATAACGTTGTGGTCTACGTGTTACCAGGTAAAACACGAGGTCATATTGTCGAATCTGCGTATACACTGTGACCCTTTTTGGGTCAGAGCCGTTCAAATGGATTTTATTTAAAATGAAGGATATTATATTTTAATAGCCGTTCACCAGTAGTGACAGGAAAAAAAGCAAAAACAAATTTTGTAATATTGTATTGTCATCTTACATATGTATTGTGTCCCTGCATGTTTTCCAGATGTACTTTCCAGATGTAGCATGTTTTCCAGAGTATTCTAACAGAATTCAAAGCAAAGTAAAACATGAAAACTGAAGAGACGTTGGAGGTAGAAAGTCTCTATTTTGAGCAAACTTTTACAACTTGGGATGGCAATATAAAATTAATAAATGCACGCATAAGTATATGTATAATACATATGCCTAAAAATTCTCTGCATAATTTGTATCATTACACATATGAGCTACTTTTATAGAAAAAAATTCTATGTAAAATTTGTCCCAATGCCCAGGTGTGGCTGGGCACCCCAGTTTGTTTCCAGTAAAATTCATTCTTATTAGATTCTAGGCATGCAATTATATTTTACAGATTTCAATTTTTTTATCCATTTTCCCCTCCCAATTGTTAAGCAAAGAATTCTGAGATTTTTTTTGGCACAGGAGTTATGTTTGCGGTAATCAAACTTTTTTGTGATGTTTTAATAAAGATTACCAAGTTATACGCTTTTACCAATAAAAACATTGATCATAGAATATCACCACAATCAGATAAGTAAGAACTACAGATTATATAAAAAAAATTTGTTCCTTATTCTTTTCAATCAACAAGTTTCAGAAAATATAATCATCACTGAGGGTCCTATTATAGGAGGCATTTTGGTCCTAATGTCGAAAATTTAGATGAGGGGTGTTTAGAAACACGAGATTTGCTGGGAATCGGCAAAAGACCGATAATCCTGAAGGAATCTCGTGGGACGAGGGAT